GCTCTTCAGTCCTATTCCCTAAAACAGCCAATCAAACACAAGCTCCACTGTAAGAACTCTATTAAAGGAGACGTCGAAAGATATTCTATTTTCTTACTGTCAATAAATCCCAACACTGGAAGTATTGTGTGATGAATCTTCTTCCTCTGGGCCAGAGAGCTCCACTGTTTCCTACAACTATTAAAACACATGAGTGAGTCACACTGTTGCACTGGGTGACATGTTCCTTCATCACCATGAACACACACACTGTAGTTTATTTTCACTCAATCACACACACACACACAGACACACACACACCGTCCTGCTGCCCCAAATACTCACTACAGCACCAAATGTGGATTAATCCGCCGCTGAAAATAGTCCCCAACAGATGCACTATGTCCTGTGTATTTCCTCTGCACTATTTCTTCATTTTTTATGTTATATTATGTTTCTATTTTATTGTGTTTTTAAACTTTTTAAACTTTTTATATGATTTTACTTTTTATTTTGTATAATTTATCTGCATGTGTTTGTTGCTTGTTTTATCCTTCTGAAGCACAATCTCTTATTTTTGATACGTGCTATATAACTAAACTTTATTATTAATATTATCATTATAATTTTATTATTATTATATTAGGAACCAATGGGCTCTGAGCTGAGAGCCACAGACACAGGAGGGAATTAGAAAGTATAAAGAGATGTACAGACATGTTGTTTGGTCTTTACATGGGATTTGTTGACAGAAAGAAAATATAAAGTTACACATCTTTTGTGCTACTTTTTACAACTTTTTCTCCACTATCAAAGCTTAATATTACACATATTTTACTCCATGACATTTATGTGATGGCTGTATTTACATTCACAGACAGGCTCGTTAAATTAAATTTAAAAGATTGTTTTGTTCACATGAAGTTTGGTGTTTTTCACTCAAATGTAACTTTGTTCAGTCTTAATGATTCAAACTGTCACTGCAGAGGCACAATAATAAGGATTAATGGGAAACGTTGTGGCAGACGACGCTAACACCCGCTTAACAAGGAGGTGTGTGCTGCAGCACATCTGGTGAAGGGGGACAAGTGAGGACAAACTCTGGAGAAAGTTGCTTAATGCCTCCAAGCCAAGAGAGAGAACGGGGGGGGGCAGTATATAGAGGCCGGTATAACAGAGAGGTTCCCATGTAGGACACACACACACACACACACACACACACACACACACACACACACACACACACACACACACACACACACACACACACACACACACACACACACACACACACAGAGAGAGAGGCTGACACAACCGAGAGGCTCACCAGGCCTGAATATTGTATGAGGCGTTCTCATGGGCCACTGCAGAGCGTGCAAACAGAGAGAGAGAGAGAGAGAGAGGTGGACCTATACATGCATGCACACACACACACACACACACACCCACACACACAAACGCACCCACACACACACACACACACACAAATGAGCACACATTAAGAGAGAGAGGAGACAGAGTGACACACTTGAAAACACAAACACATGTATGCACACAAACAGGGCCAGTGGAGCTTGAGCTGATGTGGCCTGGAGCAGCCCAACGCCCTGCCACAACACACACACACACACACACACACACACACACACACACACACACACACACACACACACACACACACGCACACACGCACACACACGCACACACAAACACACACATACACGCACACATGCATACACTTAAGAGCCATCTGCAGCTGGAGATACAGCCTACAGAAAGGCTTTACTGCTGACACTCTGAGACAGACAGAGAGAGAAGGATGGGAGAGAAGGGAAAAATTGTCGTGACAGAGTGAATCAGGAGATTAGGAGGGAGGGAGGAAGGAGAGACAGAAGGGTTGAAAGGAAGACAGGCGGTGACAGGAAGAGAGGTGGAGGTGAAAAACATGGCAGCAAGCTCTGCTTCCTCTGTCTTACCTTCAGCCCACTCAAATCTAAAAACTGCTTCACCAACACTTTCACTCAGATTTTAGCGATTATTGTTCTCCAGCCTTTAATGGCTGGAATCTCAATGGATGCATTCTGCTCTGGCCTCGATGACCTTGTGTCCCTTCTCAACTAAATAATAATCAGTAATAACCAGACTCCATACACTCATCTGAAGAATTTTATCAGAAACTAAAAAGTTCCTGCTAGTGTTTCCACCGCATCTGAAGAACTGTGAAAATGAGTCAAATGACTCGATAAGAGATTAAAGAAAAAAAATGAAGGCTCTGCTTGAGATTCAATTTTCACGCAAGACAAATCAATAACAAAGTCACACTTTGTGCTGCTGCAACAACTGTCATGTTTTCACAGTTTTCTTCTGCAAAGAACGAGTCGGGACGTCCACTTCATAACTTGATATAACCGGAAACCTGCGCTTCCTGTGTGTGTGAATGAAACCTGACAACGAAATACAAAAATTCAGATTCTGATATTTTCTGGTTCATCAGAATATACGACAACATTTTTTCTGGGTATTACGTCTGAAAACTTATATAGGTGGAGTGCATGTTTGTGTAATCACATCATCAGATAACTATTTCTTCTCGGAAAACGACCATCTATCAGACTGGCCAGCGACTGATTTACAGTAGATGTTTGTGAATACCCTCGGTCGACTCGGAGAAAACAACGATGCCTGAAAGCAGCAGTTGGAGGTCAGAGGAACCTCCCAGTGGTTCACGAGATGAATCAAACTATCTCTGAAGCCTCCGGGCTTCTTCCAATAACATATCTGATAAAACAGCCTGAGAGCGGGGAAACTGAACTCATCCTTCAGAATCAAAGGTCACCACTTCTGGGACACAGGTAGGTATTGGTTTGTTCTTAGAAGGTGTGAATCAAACACTGGTAAAGAGCAAAAGGTTGAAATTGATCTTCAATCCTGTTGGAATATTCTCACTCTTTCTTTGTGCAGGAGCTGATAGAAACAGTCCTGAGGCTTCACTCCCAATACAATCATTAGTCTGACTTCAGATCATTGCCAACACGTGATATGACTTTGGCATCCGATGTGAAAACGCTGGAAATATTCCAAAATAAAGTGGCCTGTTTGACAAAAATCTCCCCAGACTGAAGGGAAAAAGAGATGCTCCCACATGACTTCATGTTGACGGTGTTTGTCGTCGACTGATGGGCGACTCCAGATGCGTAAAAACAGCTGAGAAACACACAGAGAGCCGGGCCAGATCCCGGCTTTAAGTCGCCGCTCCATATGAAGCCTAAGTGCTGTACTTCGGTGTGCACGGCTCGCTGATTCATACCTAACCATCTCGTGTTCAATTCATGAGAGGGCCATTATGTATAAAAGGGTCAGCAAGGCATGTGAATGTGCTCCGTGTTTCGCCTGACAAGCTCCACTGAAGCTTTTTCCCACAGGGAGCCAAGACAGAAGAAAAATGTATTCCTATTACAAAAAACACACAAAAAAAACGAATTAAATGATTGCCCTCGCAACTCTTCTCCTAACCTTGCCACTGACCTCTCTTCCAGTCAATATGCAAATGAACTAACGTTATTTCTCAGCTGCTCGACAGGCGCTTCCTCTCTGGTGGCCATTTTGTGCCGAGGTGGGTTTCCAATCGGTTCTAGGCGTCGTGCTTTGGCTTCTTGTTGTTGTTGTTGTTGTTGTTGTTGTGGAGGTCTCTGGGTAATGACGGGGCCGATGCCAGAGGGATGAGGAGGGGAGGAAGGGAGGAGGGGTGAGGCCCAGCTGTCCCTACCTCTGCCCTCCCTGTAAGCTTGCAGGCACTGAGCCAGAGTACAGCCATAAACAACACCGGGATAAACTGGACCTGACAACTCCAAACTGGACTAAAGCTGACTGGACAAGAGTGAACTGCACTGGACTGGACTGGACTGGACTAGACTGGACTGGACTGGACTGGACTGGACTACAGTAGCCAGGTCTACACTGGATTTAAAATGAAATGGGTTAAACCTTAGTGCTTAAAACCCAAGAATCTATTTGTTTACATAAATAAATAAAAGAACAGCCATGAAAAGAAATGAAATTAATAGTAGAAAAATCAGATGAATGAATGATTTTTAACAGTTTTAAAGGAATAGTTCAACATTTTGGGATAACCAGTTTTGCACTTTCTTGCCGAAAGTCAGACGAGAAGATTGATACCACACTCGAGCCTGAAGGTGGTGTTAGATACGAAGCTACAGTCAGTAGATGGTTAGCTTAGCTTAGCATAGACACTGGAAACACGGGTTAACAGCTAGCATGGCTCTGTCCAAAGCTAACAACGACAAATGAGATATAATGTGTTAATGAGTGAACTTCAAATGTGTTGGTGGGCTGAAAACTTTGGACAAAGCTCACCCATGTTTCCATTCTTAATGCTAAGCTAAGCTAAGCTAAGCTAATAAACTCCACCTCCCTAGTTAGCGTTCACAGATGAGAGTAGTATGAATCATCTGATCTAACTCTGCAAGAAAGTGAATAAACAATTCAAAAAATCTTTCATCATCATTTCGTTTCATCCAACCAGCTCTTTTTAAAACATCTGGGTAAAAATCACAGAAAAAATAAAAAAGATAAACCTGCAAGACTCAACTTCAGACCATCCTGGACCAAAGACACTGACGCAGGATGTCCAGTCACTTCAACAGACTGGACTGCAATGAGCTGGACTGGCTTTGATAAAGTGGACTGGACTTAATTAAGCCTGCATGAGTCTGGAGAGAACTAGATTAGATTAGTTCAGATTAAATCTTAATGATTCCACTGGGGAAAATAAACTCTTATTTTAGTACCAAGTCCTGGTCGTACGCACCAACAAAGACCAGGACGAACAGACGAACTGCTTCTTCGACATTCAGACACAGCGTGGAGAATGTGTGACAGAAAATTAAGCGTTCATTAGAATTAATCAGCATTTAGACACAATCATCTGTTTTGGACCGTAAAGAAAGACACAGCTGTTTCCTGTTGTTTCACCCATTGCGTCCCCCCCTCCCGCGCTTTACCTCGATGATGTCGGCGTTGGTCCGGCTCTCGTGCGGCTCGTTGTACTCGGTGTACTTGAGCAGGACCTTGTCCATGTCGGTGCTGGCGTACTGGAACAGCTTGTTGGAGTGGTTGAAGATGATGAGGGCGATCTCGCAGTCGCACAGGACGCTCAGCTCGTACGCCTTCTTCATCAGGCCGAACTTCCGCTTGGTGAACGTCACCTGGTGGAGCGAGACGGAGGAGAAATTAAGAGTTAACAGAGCTTTTACAAAGCTACTGTCGATTAATTCATTATGCAACGCATGAAAAAGTTTGTGATCTTAACTCATTTACTTTTCAAAATCTGCCTGATCCTGCCAGATTTCAAGATGTTGATACTAATTTCTGGGATATTAGAAAATGATTATCTGTCCAAAACTGGACCTGGGCCCCGAGGACATGCCAGGGATTACAGATATTTATTGTGCGAGCTCTTTCCCGGGGGCCAAAAAGAAATAAAAAATACAAAATTCCTCACAGAGACTTCAGAGTGTGAAAATGAACAAATGGACGAGCTGCAGACGTTTAGAAGTGACTGACTGATAACCATCTTGATTTCCCACCAAATTTACCCTCCAAACTAAACCACATAAGCCCAGTTAAAAATAAACAGACACTTCAGCTACACATTAAGTCTTTTCACAAACATGTGTGGCCACAAAAGACGCCAAACTCTCTGTTGCCCCCGCCTCTCTGTGAAGGCCCACGTTTGTGTTTCAGTACAGCTGCTTGTTTTGAAGTTTGTGACATGGCTGCTCTATAAATAAAGATTACTACTGTGACGTGTGTTTCTGCTCCTGCCGTCAGATGAGCACGCCGCCAAGTCAAGACACTTAATAAATTAGAACTACTTGATTAAGGGTCTCAAAATGCTATTAACCCAATCAGCTTCAGTTAAGCTCCTCGTGGACACTGGCAGCAGGGTGGACAGTGGACACGAGGCTTTTTCATACAACATTTGGTGTCGTAGGCGGACATGTTCGCATATGTGCTGGGAGTCAAATTCTGCAGACGTGGACTTTGCAAATGATGAAAATTTGCCCGGACTATTTCTTTGCATTTCAGGAGCAGTGACAACCTGAAGTCTCGTCGTCAACCTCTCTGTGACTCTCCATCGTAGCAAGGAAGCAAAAAGGCTTCAGCAAGACACATTGGAACCACTTTAGCCTCAGTTAAACAGGAAGTATAATTTAATCTTTTAATAATTCATTACCTTTAGATAATGTTTTATAGTTGTGTATTAAAGGTCCCATATAGTCTAAAGGTCTCTGTCCATGTGTAGTGTGATTATAGATCAGCTCTAGGTTCTATATTAATACTGTGAAAGTATCAAAGCCTCAGTCCACAGAGAAATGCACACAGCCTGTATTCAGAAACTGAGCCTTAAAACCAGCCGTCAGGACTTCTGGAACTTTGTGATGTCACAACAAAACAGTCACCAAGCCCCACCCACCTGGACCCACCATCCAAACCTTGCAGGATTTGGTTTCTCTGAGTGTTTTTACCTGAAATCTGCTATATTTTTATTGGATTATTTATTTTTTATTGGATTTTGGTTCTTAAAACCACAAATATATCTTCTTATGGATCAACACTTCAAAATAAAACACAGAAGAAGAAGAAAACATGGAGCTTTAAAACTTTGGAACAGAAATAGGATTGATTGTGTGAAAGCACAGTGTGTTGAACATACAAGATAGAGACATTATTCAGAAACAGACTTTCAGACAGAGTGTCTTAACATGCTCTGTTGAGAGTACTCAGTTTGCATTATGCGCGTGCGTGCGTGCACACACACACACACACACACACACTCCTCTCTCCGTCACATTCACTCTCCTCGTCATTTTCACACTCTGTTATGCTCTTTTCCATGCTCTCCTATGTCACACACTCTCTCCCGCTCTCTTTTCCACACTCTCCTTCTGTCACACATTATTTCTCTCTTTCCCTCACACACACACACACACACACACACACACACACACACACACACACACACACACACACACACACACACACACACACACACACACACACTCTTGTACGAGCCACCCTCAGTCGTGAACAAGCAGAACAGAGCTGGGAGTGTTGCTGAAGCACACGGTCCCTCGCTGTCTGTTGGTTGGCTTTAGAAGCGCTTCCCTGCTATAACCAACTGGTATTTACAATCCGGGGAGATTTGGCTTTGTTTGGATTAAACACACAGGATTGCACAAACACAAACACACACACACACACACAAGAGGAGAGAAAGATTAAGAGAAGAGAAAGAAGGGAAAAGCTTCAGGTACTGCTACAATATCTGCTGTCTGATATAAAGGGAAATGGAAAGTAAAAGTGTTCACAGATGGAGAGACAGGTATTAACTGAAGGTGTTAGGAAAAAAAAAAAGGTCTGAGGCACGCTGCTCTTCGGGGCTCGCTCCATGAGTGACATCAACACATTTTCCATCTGACGTAAAAGCCAAACACACCCACTGTGACATCACGTTAGGAGGGGGCGTGGCCCCGAAGTGCAGCATTCTTTCATGTAACCCAAGACCTGCTCTCTGTTAGACTGTGTTTCCTTAAAACCTCATTAGTTTCTGTTGGAACAGAGTGGGTTAGTTTTTATATTTGGAGACTGTACAGTCAGATTCACTGAGGAAAATGGACTCTAATCTGACCGTCCCTCTAGCGCCACCACTAGGTTCACATGTGACGTTTTGAGTGAAATAACTTGTGGACAGACAGAAGTGACATTTTGTACAGATGTTCAACATCCCCAGAGGATGAGCCCAAATTACTCTGGTTATCTTCTGACTTAAATTTCAAGTTGCCCAATTCTTTCATTTAAGACCAAATAACTGCAAAACTAACAGTCCCATTAGCCGTAGCCGTACTTCGTGTTTAATGCTAATCAGCAAATGTTAGCATGCTAACACCTTAAAGTAAGATGGTAAATATTACCTGTTAAACATCGGCATGTTAGCATTGTCAGTGTGAGCATGTTAGCATGCTAATCTGAGCCTCACACAGCCATTAGCATGGCTGTAGACTGCCTTGTTAGCACCAACATTGAATCAAATAATTTTTCTCTCTAGCTGCTAATGTGGAAACATTTAGCAGCTAAAGAGACAAATATTTGAAGCCAAGAGACGGTGGAGACCAAACCTGAGCTAAAAGCTTAACGTAAAAGTGTTTGCAGCAAATGTTTGCAAAGTTTAAGAACAGCATAACTCTTTATTTTTCTTGTTGTCTTGTCAGCACAGCTCGTCCATCTTTCAGTACTTTGTGACTTCCTGTGTCAGCACACAGTCGACTGCTTGTTACTGAACACAAAAAAACCACCTCAGAAATATATAATTTCATTAAAAAAAAGGTCAGTAATTTTAATTTAACAGCTGATCCACTGGGCTACTCTTTGTAGAGGAACTGGCTTAATTATTGACACACTAACGGCAGTGTTAGATCTGACTGTGCAACTGTTTAAACAGCTAATGTTTTATATTTTACCAGCTGATCTCTTGAAATCATGTGAAATGTAGAGCAGAGGAGAAACCGTAAACAATATTTAAGTGCTAAAAGTTGTGAAGAGCTATATAAATGCACCTGTGATTTAACAACTTCATTCACTTTTATTTTCCTGCCAGTAAAGATCAGATTCCACCTGAAAGTAAAAAACAGCCCAGGTGGATGCAGACAGTCTTTACGGCTCTTCTGTTTATGATAATTATACTGTTACTGTTACTGCAAATCAATGTACTAATGATACATCGATTTTGCCTCCGGGGTTTACCTGCACTGATACACAGTGTATTTCCTGGATGTAATTGCGATAAATTGAATAAGTAAAGAAAGAGAGGAAAAAGATAGAGAGGTGGAGATAAGATAGAGACACAGAGGATGAAAGCGAGAAAAGCAGCCATGTGAGACTCTCTCCATCTTTCTCTCCCACGATCACTCCATCTCTCATATCTCTTGATCCTTTTTGCTAAGGCGCCCGACATGTCTAAGCTTCTCTCATCCCTCCTTCTCTCTCTCTCTCTCCTCCTTCCTTCGTCTCTTATTTTCTCGCCCTCGTTTTCTCTTCCTCTCTTTCTCTCTCCGTTGCTTTTTTTCCACATCCTCCCTCCCCTCCTCCCCTCCTCTCGCGCTCGCTCACTCATTGCTTCCTGCTGCCACAAATCAAATTATATCGGGGTCGTATCCATGGGCAACCGACTCCCCTCCTCCCCCTCCTGCCTCCCCTCCGCCCCCCATTTCCCACCTCATCACACTCTGCTACCATCATCTTACCTCCCTTCATCTCCCTCTCTCTCCATCTTTATCTCAATGCTTATCTACATATCTCCCCCTCCCCTCTCTCTCTCTCTCACACACACACACACACACACACACACACACACACACACAGAATGAGCAGATAAATTATGTGGCGATGTTGGAAAGGGAGGAAATTACAGCTGTACAGGATGACAAGAGGGGTTGGTGATGAAGAACTGCTCTCCTTACAAATTATAAGGTCATCCACGAGTGCAGAGCACAACCACAGCGAGTCCAGACATCCCAACAGAACCCCCCCACCCCATCCCCACCCCCCCACCACCGGTTTATCCGTCTTCCTCCTTTACTTAGAGAAAAGTCGTCAGCGTGGCCGAGACTGTGGGTCCGAGTTTCGATCCCGCCGTTTCCCACAAAGGATAAACAAGCTGGAGGTAATTGACATTAACAGCAGAACTGCCAGGTAACCAATGGCAACTGAAGAATAAGACATCCTCAGTGAGGAGAGGAAGAAAGAAAGAAAGGGGGCGAGTGGTTTCATTTGTGTGTGTGTGTGTGTGTGTGTGTGTGTGTGTGTGTGTGTGTGTGTGTGTGTGTGTGTGTGTGTGTGTGCGTCTTGGCAGGGTTGTGATTGTGTGGCAGATGGATGAGGAAACTTTCACTTGCTTGCTTACAGTCACACAATCAGGTCTGAACGGTTAAAACAAGATACGGATCGTCACCACGCAGCTCTTCGGTATCGGTTATCATCACAGATTAAAACGCTGCTCTGTAACGTAACCCACATTTTTAACCTTATTTTTCTATGTTTTGTGATGAATCTACATTTTATCTGCTGATTTGTTGAACCATAGCAGCAAGACACAGTTTCAAAGTGACAGGAAGATTTTTTTCTTTCCCCTCTAAATCCTCAACACATTTGAGTGAGGGGTTATTTCAGGCGTCTCGGGTTTCAAAAATAAAAAGTCCCATGACTCTGTAACTCACATTTGGAGTGTTTCACTCACTGACAACTGTGTGTAAATATGTGCCAGCTATTTTTATATTTTAATCATTGTATATTTGATTATATTCAATTTTAGTTTATTTTCTGCACTACGTGACTCAGGGAGATGCTTCACTGTTTTGTTGCTTTATGAAGTTACAGTAAAGATATTTCGAAGCTTCCAGAGCTTGAATAGACGTGAATATCTGGATTGTTGATTGAGAGTGTACATAAAAACTACAACTCCCAAGGTGCATTTTTAAGTAAGAAACATCCAATCACCAGGCTTTAAATTCTGTTACATGCTTTGCTAACTCACTGAATATTGTTTCAGAAAAATACTGTTTTTTAAAAAAAAAAATATTTTGGGACTTTTACGTCTTTATTGAGACACAGAGCTGCTGTTGTTGCAGGTGGGAACAAATCGCTGCACAGCAGTTACCGAATTCATCCAAAAACTGATCCAGAATCTGAACGTGAACTCTGTCAGCTTTCTATAAAGTCAATCTTTAAGCCTCTGCTGTATGTTTGTGATGTGTGAAAGTGAACTTTAACCTCTGTGACTCTTTATTTATTTATTTTTTTTAACAAAGAACCAGAAAACTGTTTTTAACCTTTAGTACTGATGATTCAACCAGGAGTTTAATATCCATCGAAGCCTTGACCTCTCCAGCTGTCTGCACGTTAGACGAACAGCAACCAAACTATCTCCTCACACTCTATTCAGTGCACTTCCTGGATGCTGCACAGCTTCTCTGACCTCTTCCTGCTGAAACTAGCCAATGAAAAGTCGACCCTCTGTCCAAAAACAAAAAATCCAAATCGAATCAGCCCAACACTTCCAGTCCTGTTCACTCTTCTTTCTCGTGGTTCTTTTTTGTCTCTGTAAAAAAAAAATAATAAATTTTTTTTTTTTTTTGTGCTGCTGTCATGTTTCCAGCCGGGGCCCACACTCTGAACGCTGTTTATTTTGCGGAGCTTATGGCAGCATCTCTGAATCAACACGTAGGAGGGTGACGGGCTGCATGTACTCCAAAAATTCATTTGATTTCTTTTCAAGGAGCTGCACTGTTCATTAGCTGCAGCAACACAGAGCGAGCGTGTAAAAAAAACACACACACACACAAAACAAAAAAACACTTATTTCTTTACCAGCTTAATACTGTGTTCCACTTCCAACACAGCACAACATCCAGTCTCTCACGTAAAACAGAGGCAGTGCAAAGTTTTGGTTCAGCGTGAGCGCTCTCATGTCATCGCCCCCCCCCGATCGGTTCGCTGCTTGTTAATCACCTGATCGCGATCAATGAGCGATCTGTGATTCTGACACGGTGACCATGTTTTTACCACAGAGCGCATCACCTTATTGACAAACTGTTTGACACCTGATACGAACGCTGGCTCCATTAGAGCCTGTCCGACCAGAAATAGCTTCACTCCCCCCCCCCTCTTCTATATGTCCAATTGTGCGCTGATGAATAACAAGCCATCATACTTCCCTGACCCCCTCCCTCCTGCAGGCGCTGCTTCCTCTCCTTTATGGAAATGCAACCTGCTAAGATTGATGAGGAGAAAACCGGGGATGATTTTCCAAAAGCCTCCAGCCACCTCGCTCTCACTCTGCTCAGGTCTTATTCAGCCAGACACCTTGTCCCCCCCCCCACCCCTCCGTCTTGTTTTTTTCCCTTCTCTTCTCTCTCTCTCTCTCTCTCTCTCTCTCTCTGCTTTTGAAGGTGGGCACGTCAAATCCATTACTCAATCTGCTCAATGGAGCGAAGCCCATTTACCAGTTGACTCATTTTAGATGGATCATTTACCCTTTCATCCTCTCTGACAATGCCACTGATGTAACCAAAGGGACTGAGGCTGTTTTGAGGAGTGTGGAGAGAGGGGGGGGGGGTATCATACTTTTCTTGCTCTTTTTCACTGTAGGCAGTATGGAGGGGGGGTGGGGGTGGGGCGTTCTGAGAAACCCCATGATGGCTCTGCGGAGTCATATGAGCCTCATAAAAAAGACGATGCTATTATATTGTCCTGTTGTGGCGGCGCTGAGAGAACAGCCACCATGTTGTTCATGCTACATGGGACATGTGAAAACAGAGAGGACCCCTGTGGGAATCTGTTATCGCACGAGTTGAAAGTTTTCTGTCACCACAATGGAATTCGGTCCCAGGGGAGTGGGAACGATCGTTTCTCAACCCTGAGCGGGACGAACGAGGAAGGAAAACGTGGCTCAAGTGTCAAATATTATTAAAAGTGAATAACCGTGTTGTTTACCGCTGCAGAACGGACACGTCCGCGATTAAACCGAGAGTTTTAGGCACAAAAAGAAGAGGCAAAATGTAGATATTCTGCTGCATGGTAACAAACACTGTGTGTGTGTGTGTGTGTGTGTGTGTGTGTGTGTGTGTGGGGTGTGTGTGTGTGTTTAAGCTGCATTTATAGTTGTGTATTCAGTGGAGATTAAGAAAACTTCAAGGCAACATTAGGGAAGTAATTACACAGTAATGAGGCAAGGTGAACTTTCTCATCGCCGCTCCATATCATTAAGTGAACATCAGGCAGTTAGTTCACTCCAATACATACATCACATCCACTGTTGCGGCGGTCTGTGGATCTATATATCAAACCCTGTGCTGTAGGTTTCTGCCGCCATTAACCTCCTGCATCAACTACAGATCCAGTTTCACACACAGCGACTATCATGATGTGGAACATGTTATATCAGGGAATATGGACATAAACATGATCTACTGTTCTGCATTTCATCAGAGAAACTTTTGACTTTCTGTATGAATAAAACAAAACTTCTAATAATAAGATAAACATTATAAATAACTAATTAGTTTTAAATGACAATTAGCTTGGAATAATGACTTTAAACAACTTAAATGTCTTATAATAATCATATAAATGCACTCAGCAGCCAGTTTATTAGGTACACCTAACACAGTCTAATACAGCAGTCCTGCAGTGAAACCATCATGAAGGGTTATGATGTTCAGACTTAGAGGATGTAGTTTGTGCTGCTGTTGAATCATTGGTATGAATGGGATGGCACAAAATAATAGAAACACAGTTAAACAGCACCACAATCTCCACCCTCAAAAAACAACTGAATCAACACCTCATCAATAACTGGACATCACAACCTTCACGAAGGGAGAATTCACTACTGGACTGCTGTATCTGAAGTTTCCTTTCTCACTCTTTTCTTTATCATTCTTTCACTTCACATAACGTTAATTCAGCAGAAGCTCTGACTCGGATTTTCCTCATGTTTACACAAACACATCTATTTGGGGTTCGGCGTCTTTAGCCGACTCACTCTGCATCACATTCCTCCTCATCCATCACTAGTGTAGAATTATTCCCACGAAATGTTTGTTTTTCCCTCCAGTGGTCCCTCGTGTCGTGAGTGGAAGAATCTACACTTGTTATTATTACCCCCCCACCCCCCCCGTTTATGTGTTTTTCCTTGTTTCTGTGTTATTGTTGCTGTGGGACGCTCTAACCTGATCAGTGATGCAGCTGCTACCTGAGGCAGGAAGTCATTAGACATTCAGACACGGTCCGCCTCCTTCATCCGCACTAACCTGTCTGTTGCGTTCGTCTGTGATCCTCTGAATCTGAATCTTTTTCCTCCCCATGTTTCCGGTGTGGCGGTGGGAGGAGCGGAGGAAGTGTCGAGGTCAGAGGTCACGGATGACAGTCGTTGTGTGTGTGTGTGTCTTCCTCCTCCTGATGTCTCTCAGTTTGTCCTCTCCGCGCACGCTGACTCTGTGTGAAGCGGTCGAGCGAGGAGGAGGCTGTCACCTCGTGGATTTACAAAAAAAAAAAGAAAAAAAAGAAAAAGAAAAGAAAAGAAAAAAAAAAAAGAGGGAGAAGGAGGAGAGGAAGAATGGGGTTCGGTTTGCAGCGCCCTCTTCAGATCATGGTCCTGTTTCCGGTGGCAGGTCATCCACACTCAGGCTGGACTGGGATCCTCTGCCCTCCCCTTCACCTCAGCTGGGCAGCTCCTGGAAAACAACACAAGAGGCATTCATCAGACTGTGTGGGGGGGGGGGACGACGACTCTGAAAAGGGGGGAGAGAGGCTTTGTTTGTATACCGTGACCCACTTTAGCTACTACAAACACTGCCTTTGCCTTGACCGCTCATGTACGAGAGAATAAATGATGCAGCAATGCATCTGAGGCGCCATCAAATCAGGAGCACATTGGGCTGAAGCATGAAGGGGGTGGAGGGTGGGGGGTGGGGAGTGTTTGTGGTGCTACATGCAGAGCAGGAGGCCCTCGGGGGCCCCGGCGAGGAGGGAGGCTGTGCTGTGTCAGCTTCATTAGAGGCATCACCGCCACATCACTGATCTGCTGGTCGCCCGCGGCAACCGGCTGCCCGGCCGGGGCCCGCCTGACACGCCGAATGTGAATCCCCCAATCGAAGGCAGAGCAGAGCGGAGCGGAGAGGAGAGGAGAGGAGAGGAGAGGAGTCGCCGAGTCTGTGGATCCGGCATATTTTCCTTTTCCAAACACCGTCCTGCTCCGAACTCGCCTCATGACAGGAAGCAGGTCTTAGTCTGAGTTTCACGTCATGTGTGTTGACAGTGGACGGACAGCGGGGCAGTCGACACTAGTATGGAAATTAGGGCCGCTCGATTATAGCAAAAATCATAATCACTATTGTTTTGATCAATGTTGAGATCACTATAGTTTAACGCGATTGCCCGTTGACTTTGGAAACACCACGCAATTATTGAACTTGAAAAAAATTGTCTATTTAACAGTGAAACTTGAAATACAAATAAAAATATATATATATAATATCTAAATATAAACGAATAAATATAATATAAAAAAATTATACAAACAAATTTGATGAAATTAAATGAGATCAACAAGGTTGTAACATTAGTGAACATAATCCATATTCCTGCTCAAGATGACGCACATATATTGCTAACGTACGCCCAGTCGTAACCAGGAAGTGGGCGGGGGGAAATTTTTTGTGAAACAGAATGTGGCTCAATAATCGTTTTATCTCGATTATCTTGTTTTCACAATCGGCGGAAGACAACATTGTAATGGAAAAATAAAACAATCAATCGCCCAGCCCTGACGGAAAATTATTCCACATTCAGCTTCACAAAATATTCGAACACTTTTCAGTGTTCAGGTTTTCCTCTCAGCCCGACATGTGAGCAGAGCAGGTATGAGTGAGCAGGTTTCCCACTCAGCAGTTAAGGACAGGCCCTCCTGCGCTCTTTGGCGTCCGGTAATGACATTATGGCCTTATTACTTAAAGTGAACACCGGCCTAATTCCCCGTGACACAGAGAAAGATAAAGGGCGTGAAAATGTGTGTCTAATTCAGCCGTGCATCTAACTAACCATGAAATAAGGGTGGTCCGCGATACGCTGCGGTGCCCGATCAAAAACAGAGGATGGGCACGTAATGAATTACAAATTTCAAAAAGGGGCCAAAGCAGAGAGAGAGAGGGAGAGAGAGAGAGAGAGGGAGAGAGTGTTTCTGCAAATTCATGCAAACTCATGAATGAATGAGAAGGCGGCAGCAGCTCAGGAATGGCAACAGAGGCGAGGACCGTTTTAGGCCCCGTTACTACTATTTGTGGTTCAGCTTTAAAAATAGCATTCTATATATACATACAGACAGTCTGCACACACAGCACAGAACACACACACACACACACACACACACACACACACACACACACACACGTAGGACAGTAGGAGCCAAGTGGCAGCATTACAGAGCTGAAGCATCTGGAAAGCCACGAGTACAGAGAGACGCCACACCAGCTCTCCAGCATTGTTTGCATTCCCTCTACCTGGGAGAGCGGCGGCAGAAGAACGCCCTCTATTTACATCCATTCTTATGAAACAAAGAATGTGAAACAGTCCGTCATGGGACTGACAGTCCCTTTTGTGCTGCTGTGGGCGCTGCACAGACTCGCTTAGTGTGGATGCAATTGACTTAGCTTTGGCAATGAGTTGCTTATGAATTATGCACTGATGGAGGAGAGTGGAGGGAGGGAGAGGAAGGGAGGGTGTTGGAAGAAAGAGGGTGTTATGAGTGTCATAATTGTTTTGTAAAATGGCTTGATGAAGAACTGGAGGCTTCCTGAGCTGTGTTTCTACATGGAAAATCCACAGCGAGCTGCAGGAACTGAATGTACAAACTGTTGGCAACATCGCTCTAATATTTGGTTCCAGCCCCTTCAGCACAATCTTTTTTTTTTTTTTTCTAATCCATCTTTAACTCCTCAGTTTCTCTTCTCTTCATCTGCATCTCCTCCCTTGTGAATGGCACAGATTTTAAAGAGAGAGAGAGAGAGAGAGAGAGAGAGAGAGAGAGAGAGAGATCAGCTCCTCCGGATAATGAATTCTACCTGCATCACCTCATTAGCGTACCTCTTGAAAAGAGAAGAGTGCTGCTGATATGTCGGACATTCAATCTTTCGGCTTCGAAATCACACGAGTGAAGAGGTGTCAGTGAACATGTCTTAACTAAATAACAACATGGTTCGTGTTTGTACTCTCTCACAGCTCTTTATTAGCCACAGAGAGAGCGAGCGAGCGAGCGCAGGACTCGCTCCACTTGTGGTGAAGTTCAAAGGCAGAGCACTGAGGGATTTTGTCTTTAGGCTGTGGGCTGATCACACATGAAAAGGCTGCTTTATCTGCCTGGGGTGGTCAAGTCTCGACCTTTTACCCTTCATGCTGCTGGAGCTCGCTTCCCATGTCTGATGTCAGGCAGAATCTCTGCTCTCACATGGGAGAGCGGAGGGCCTGGAGTGTGTCTGCTGCCTCGCTGAGCAGGCCAGAGTGACAAGAGAGGCTCTGGACAATGGAAAGATAAACGCCGATAATTAGAAATCTACAGCAGACCCAGATTAGGACCCTGGGGAACGCCTACAAAACATAAAGAAAGGGGCCAATGACAAGCTCGTCTTTTACATTTCCTACCAGGGAGTTTGGACATGAAAGCACAAACTGGAGTAAAAGGAAGTCAGAGCTTTTGAGGAAATTGCACAAACGTTGAAACATTTCCACAGATGTTAAGTCGAAGACGCTTGAATATAACGGCTGTCAAGATTTGATCAAAACTTAATCATCCCTTGATATCCCGTTGATAAAGATCTGTGATGCCTCTTCTTCTTATGCGAGATGTTTTCATGCACATTTGTATCAAGATAATAAAAGAAAAAAAAGCCTTCAATGTACTGTTACAATAATTTCAAGCACTAAATGAGAAAGATTAATCGCACATATTGTTTTAAAAAGATGTTATTCAAAAGGGATAACAGCGTAGAACCAGCAGAAACAGAATCACTGCATTAGAAATGGTATAAAAAAGAAGCAGAAACTCTATTACTGTACTAATGTGTCCACTAAGCTTTAGAGAGGGCACATCAGGTCGTAGCCACGGGGCAGCCTGCAACAAAGATTAGTCTATAAAAGAACAGTTAGAAAAACGTTGCATCGCATCATTATCCCTGACATCTGTTGGTGCGGCCATTAAGCATCGCAAAGCTTCAATCTCCTATCGCAGCGATGTGGGAGGAAGGCCGTGAGCTGCGAGGGCATTATTCTGATTTTAACATAAATTCATCAGGAGAAGTTTGCAGGGATGTTTTCAGTTTCTGCAGGAAGAGCTTCCGAGTGCAACCGCAGTTTTCTACAGTCTTGACAATAAGGAGCTTCCCTTGGGCGATCAGGGGTTAAGTGACTTGCTAAAGGGCACGTCACCCAGATTTTCCCAGCCGGTCGAGGGTTTGTGAACTGCTGACCTTCCTCCTGACAACCTGCCTTGCCGTCCTCGAGGCTACCGCTGCCCTCCATATTACTGATACATCGCCACCAACGTGTCTGCCACAGGCTGAGTGTGTCAGGAGGGAGGGAGGGAGGGAGGGGCAGCGCGGGGGCTGTGACTGAGTCATGACACACAGACAAACAAACAAACACACTTACATGCACTCTCAAAGGTAACACCTGCGCTTTCTTTAAATCACTGCATAAGGCATCGCTGCATCCACAAAAATACTTGTTGTCACCTCTTAACGAGACACACAACACGGTGACTGCATTCAGTCCTTGACGGACTGTTGCAGAGTTAAAGAGTGGTGACTAAAGAGCGTCGGCGAGACCTCTTTCACTCCCTTCTTGAGATCTTAAGATCTAAAGAGCGGGTTGTTAGCAGGACCCTTGCAGAGATCCTTTCCCAGGCTGAAACGAGGGTGAGCCTTTTTCCTCATTAATCTTGTGTAGACGCTGGAAGCTGTGTAATTAAAGTCCACTCTTTATGTATTTAATGCATGTAAAATGCTGCTCTTTGACCTCCTAAAAGGCTGCATTTAAAGTTATTTTCTCTGAATAAACTGTGCAACTTGCATGTTTTATTAATTATTCCATTTTCGGCAACGTCTCCATATTTTGACCCTCCCCTCTTCTGTTGGTTTTCTTTAAGTGACTGAACTGGATCTTTGAACGACGTCCTTCCTGATTTGACTCTTTTTTTTTCTTTCCTCTTTACACCCACAATCTCGTAGCAGTGTGGGCTGCTGTCCTGTAAAGTTTGTCAAATGTTGCATAAACAGAAAATGTCTTTGGCGTGGACAATTTTCACATTATCTTTTCAACCTTCCTTTAAGCCTGAAGGATTAATGTCATTACAGGTTGCTTTTGCGATACTGTCAGCAGCCACGTG